TTACGGTTTTTTTATATTATTTCTTTATTTTATTTTGTCTTTTTTTTATTTATTTCATTTTATTTTATTTTTCTTTATTTACTATTTTTATTTTATTTTTTTTATTTTCCAATCTTCAAAATTTTTTTATAATAAAAAAATTTTGTTTTCAAAACCCCTCTTTCCTCCCACCCTCGTCATGGCTATTTTTGCTCTCTTAATCCTCTAAATACTCGGCCGAACGAATGGCCACCAAGAATTTCTCATTATCCCACCCATTTGAACCTTGTTTTCCCATCGCCTTTTTCCTTTTACGACTCGAAAATTCATTTTTTCTCACTTTTTCCCCTAGCAGACACCCACAAAGTACAATGCGAACACATGTTCGATTGATCCAGACCGGATAAATATTATTTGCGACGGGGATTTTTCGAAAATGCCCTCAGGGCAGAATTTAAAACCGATTGATTTTGGGCCGCCAAATGTCGTCGGAGGGCCGAAAGTGGGCCTGGGAACATACTTTTGCACTTTTTGTGTGGTATTTATGGGGTTCAAATTGGTGTCGGACACTAGGATATTACACTTGAGATTAGGTAATTTTTTGGCAATTAAAGGATTTTCAAGGAGTTTTTTGGGAATTTCCTGAGGCAATTTGCTTGTAGAGGATTTGAAATATCATTCTGTACTGTTTGGAGGTCACAATATATAATTTTAGATATTAATTTGGCCAGAAATCCCGAAAAAAATCCTTTTTTAGAATGTCTGTGTGTCACGTTTCGAAAAATTTTCTTTTTAGCAAATTAGCTGTCTAATAAACCGTGCAATAGAATGAACGTTGCATTAAGAATCTTAAAATTTGATTTTCTTGCCTTTTTTTGGCCTAAAAACACAATGCCAAAAATGGCGGGAAAGTCAAAAATTTGAATTGGAATTTTTGTGAAAAAGGTCAAGAATCTAGAGAAAAGAATTTTACCGTACTTTACAATTATTTTACCGATATTTACATCTTTTTTAACATCTAGAACACAATGCCAAAAATGGCGGGAAATTTAAAAATTTGAATTGGAATTTTTGTGAAATGTGTCAAGAACCGACAGAAAATAATTTTTTTCCGTATTTTACAATTATTTCACCGATATTTACACCTTTTTTAACGCCTAGAACACAATGCCAAACATGGCGGGAAATTTAAAAATTTGAATTAAATTTTTTCCAAGAGTGTTAGAAGTTCTCAAGGATAGCCTATTCGTATTTTACAAATTGTTTTTCCAGTTTTACCTTCTTTTTTCACCCCTAAAACAGAATGCCACAAACGGCGGAAAGTCCGAATTTTTGAAAAACCCAAATTGCACTTTGGGAAATATAATACATCCTTGATCCTGTCGAAATTAAACGTTTGATGGGTTCGAAGGCCATCCGTCAAACAGTTGTGTCCCGGGTTTTCCCCTCATTTTTACGGCTAACGTGCGAGTTTAGAGCAAAAATGAGCCCAATTTTCGAAATTTTTTATCAATTACTATCAAATTGTGACGTATTTTGGGTCTGAATTGAATCGAAAAGGTTTCTAAATGGTAGTAAGTGATAGTAGGGGCTTTCTGAATATTTGAAATTTTGATTTTCGCCGATTTTTTTGCTGTTTCTTGGCAGATTTTTTGAATTTTTTAAATTATTCAAAAACATGATATCGTATATTACACCATCCTCGCATTTAGACACTTGGTATTGTATTTATCAACGTTTATTACTCAGAATTCACCCATTTTTGCCATCAAATTCGCGATATCCCGGTTTTTTTAGGAATTTCCAGAAAATGTGTCACGATGACACCTGCTTAAAATGTGTCAGTGGTATAAAAAACGATTGTATATGGCTAGTAGTACCCTCTAAAGTCCTCACAAAAAAATTTAAGCTCAAAACGATTTGCAATCTGGATGACGGATTTTCTGGATTTTTCAGAAATTGTCTGAGACCAGGAGCTTAGCGATGCTTTCAAAATTTTTTACGTACTGTAAGGAGTACTCCCAGCCAGCTGGCACATTTTAAACCGGCGTCATCGTGACACATTTTCTGGACACACATTGCACCGAAAGTGTTGATAAAATTTGCCGTAATTTAGTCACTATTTACAAGCCCTCCTCCTCTCCTCTCCACTCAACATCAACAAATCCCCGAAAACAAAGATCTCTTCTCACACACCGAAACTGCCTCTCCAACAACTGCAGACCTAGTAGTATAATATAATCTTGGTGTGTGTTTTGCACAAACCCGCAAATTCCGGCGGACTCTTGCCGGCTTCTCCAAACACCCCTAATCCGTCTCGCGGTTCGAAATAGCCGCGAAATCTGCATTCGCGGCTCTCACGCCACTCCACGGATTCGCCGTCGGTCGGTCGGTCGCAACGACCCCTCGGCATGAGGTGTCAAATTGCGTTTGAAAGACAATGGAGACGGGCCCCGCCGACAAACTCTTGAATGGGCATTTGGGCCGTTTTTCGGCCCGAATTTCGCTGTTCCGGGACGCGGAAGGCCAAGACATTGAGCTGACCTCCAAATTTTGATGTTTAAGCGCAATCTTTGATGTTTTTTGGAGTCGGATTGGCTTCAAATTTGGCGTAGATGATGCTTCTGGTTTCGTAATGCATTTAGCAATGTTAAATTTCTGAACCCGACGTTTGGAAAAAAATAATTTCAATTTTTCAAAATACGGATGACATTTACAGTGGGGGACCTGATCCAGTGGCAAAAAACGTATCATTTTGCATCCTGGACGCATCAAAAATGTGGCAAAATGCTTCCCTTTCCAAGTGAAAAACTTCGTTTTCAAAGGCTTCCTCACAAAAAGAGTGGGCGCGCTTTTGAAATCAGAGTTTTTCACTTGGAAAGGGAGGTATTTTGCTGCATTTTTGATACTTCCCGGATGCAAAATGGCACGTTTTTGGCCAATGGATCACGCCCGCCACTGTGTAGTCCAAGAAATCGGCTATAGAAGATTTTTCAGGATTTTTGCGACACCGATTTTTTGCGAAAAAATACCAAAAAAAAATTTTTTTTTACTTTTTTTAGTCTGTCGGGAAAATAATGAGTACAATGTCGGTGCGTCAGTAGTGTCGCTGAAGTGAAAAGCAAATCGATTTTGTCGTGACAAAATTCGTTTTCTCAGCGACGATGCGATTTTCGCTGCGACAGAGTGCTCATTATTTTCCCGACAGACTGATACAGTGACGGAAATGATTCAGTGACAAAAAACGTACCATTTTGCATCCGGGAAGTATCAAAAATGTGGTAAAATGCCTCCCTCTCCAACTCAAAAAAATCGGAGAGAGGAAGATATTTTGCCACATTTTTGATACTTCCCGGATGCAAAATGGTACGTTTTTTGCCACTGGATCAGGTCCGCCACTGTACTCATTTATCACCCATTTTTAGCGGCTATAAGAAAAAAAATAATTATCTATTGTTAGTTCATATTTACCTTTACATATTTTAGGAGATATTTCATCGATTTTTTCTCTGAAATCGGCATTTTTCGCGGTCTTTTGGACAAAAACTCTATTTTTCTCCAAAAAATTTGATTTTTTGCTAATTTACTATATTTTCTGATTGAAATTTTAGTAAATAATACTGTATTCATATTTTATATTAAATTTAACATCCCTAAAGACAACTTTCCAACCGATTTTCCCCCGAATTTTGAGATTTTTTGCGATTTTTCGCTCAAAACTTTAATTTTTTCCCACAAAATCGTAATTTTTCGCAGATTTACCGCACTTTTTGCCGATTACTGTACAAAATCGTTCCTCATTCGGCCCTCTCATTCAATTCCGCATAATTCCCATCGCATTCGTCACCGCTTTTGGCCTCATTTTGCTTTCAAACCGCCCCAAAAATGCCCTTTACAATGATCTGTTGATGACAACAAGGGGGTAAACAGGCATTTCCATTAAACCCGGCGGACCTTCATGGCCATTCTTTTCTTCGCCCGGCCCCCCGAAATTCGTTTTTCGTTTAATTAATGCATTTAGTAAATTACTTTCGTCCGCTGCTCGCCCCGAATTTGCATATTTTACGCGAGAATTCGCCGAATTCTGAGATTTTTTCGTGCGTAAGCAACCGACATTGCATAATAATGGGGCCGGCGGTGTTTATGAGCCGCGAAGTGGGACTGTAAAAGTAGGTGAGCAAGATAAACGACCATTTTGGGGCGGAGCTTTGATTTTTTCGACATTTTTTGAGATTTTTGGTGTTTAACAAAATTTTTCGGCCAAAAAATCGTCTGCAATATAGTAACCATAGCCTACGATGTCGTATTTTACCCGCAGACTGAGTCTAAAACTATTTTTTAAGCCATATTCTGAGCTTTTTTATATTACACATGACCTTCGTCAAATTATCCTTCAAAATACCGTCTTACTGACCGTTTAAATGCATTATCGTGCCTATTTTGACTAACGTATGAATTCTCACTTCATTCAGAGCCATTAGCCATATTCAAAATTCAAAAATAAATTTTCCCGCCATTTTTGGCATTCCGTCTTAGGGTTCGAAATAGGTGTAAAAACAGTGTAGATTGCAAATTTACTTGATTAGGCGCATTTTAAAATACAGGAAGACTCAAAATTTTGCTTTTTTAGCCACTTTTCTATATTATCCATGATGATTTGGCTATTTTTGGTAAAGAATGCCAATTTTTAGAACCAAAACAACGCTTAATGACTTTTGATACCTTCTAAGCTGCAGTACGTTTTAGTTGCTAGGACTTTCTTTCAAATTCCGACGCATTAACCATGCAAAATTGACCTTGTCACCCCGAGAAACGGCCGAATCCGCGAATTTTCGTGTTTATTCGATTATATCCCCCGCGTGCGTTCCGTGCAGACAATCGACATAAAAGCATATGATAATTGTCATGTTTTTGTTTGCAGACATCCGGGCGCACAAGTTTTGGCTGGGCCATGAATTGAGCGGCCCATAATTGGAGCCATTCTTCCCGCCGCCACAAAACCCTCGGCCGCCGAACGCTAAATGTGGGATGGAGCGGCGATCCGACGCTTTGTCCATCCCACAGTCGCCTTGCTGGTTGTAGCCAACCTCATCAGCGGTAGTTTTGGTAGTTCAGGTGAGGTTTATATTATACTTGAAGTTGACGTCAATTTTTTGAATTTGTGTAGTAAACACCGAATTTTCAGACGAAATCAAATGTTTCTGTGATAAATTAACCTGCCCTGGGTCATTAGTTTGCACCGGCAAGTGGTGTCTTATTGGAATTAGTACAGAAGGTAAGTTTGAAACATCTTTCATCGTATAAAATGTCAGATTTGGCGGATAAGGGGCAAAATTGTTATTTCTAGATGTCTATGTAGTATAAAAATCGTATCTATATCAACTTAAGTGGTCTTTTTGCTTACTATTAGGCCAAAAAACTCAAAACATCTTTCGTCGTATAAAATGTCACTTTTTGCGAAAAACGTGACATTCAAAGGGAAAAATTGATATTTATAGTTTTTTAGGAGTTTATGCAGTATTAAAATCGTGTTTACTTTATTTTAAGCCGGCTTTTTACTTACTATTAGGCCAAAAAACTCAAAACATCTTTCGTCGTATAAAATGTCACTTTTTGCGAAAAACGTGACATTCAAAGGGAAAAATTGATATTTATAGTTTTTTAGGAGTTTATGCAGTATTAAAATCGCATTTACTTTATTTTAAGTCATCTTTTTACTTACCATTTGGCCAAACAAAAACTCAAAACATTTTTCATCGTATAAAATGTCGTTTTTCGCCGGAAACGGTGTCTAAGCGATATTTCAGCGTACGAAAGCCCTCTATATTTTCAAAAGAGAAATAATTCGCGTATTTTACCCCAAATTTCAGGCGGAAACGGCCGTCTGGATCAGTTATGCGGCTGGGACGACCGCGACCGACCGGTCGATTGTGCCAAGGATTTCGACCGCTGGACCGAGGTCTGCGCCTGTGATGAGCCCCTATGCAATACGTTCGCGCATCTGCGGTCCAACATGGACCAGCGACGAGAGGGCGACTACGAGATGACTCGTTATGGAGCGGGTTCCAAAGGGGTAAGGAGAAGATAAAGTGATGCAAAAAATTCCTATTTTTTGGCAATGAGATAAATCTAAATGAGTGTAAATCGTACGTAGAACCTGTTCAAACAGTTGCTCTTGTTTACAACCTCTATTTTACCAAAAAATTTTGTGTTTTTGCACTAGGAGCTCAAGTGCAACATAAGGTCAGAAATTTGTAAAAACTCTACAGAAATTAGCCTAACCCTCCTTAAAATTCTATTTCTCCAATATTAATCACCGGAAATTTTTTTTTCTGGTATTTTTTCCAAATTTTAGGCCAAAATTTGATGAAATTGCAAAATAAAAGGGAATCTTGGTCGTACTGTGAGGGACCGGATCCAATGGCAAAAAACGTCTCATTTTGCATCCCGGAAGGGACCAAAATGTCTCCAAACCCTTCCCTTCTCTAAGCTAAAAAAACCCCGCTTTGAAAACCCCGCCTTGAAGGAAAGGGCGCGCTTTTCAAAGCGGAGTTTTTTAGCTTAGAGAAGGGAAGGGTTTGGAGTCATTTTGATCCCTTCCGGGATGCAAAAGGAGACGTTTTATGCCATTGGATCAGGTCCCTCACTGTACGACCAAGATTCCCTTTATTTTCCAATTTTCATCAAATTTTGGCCTAAAATTTGGAAAAAAATACCAGAAAAAAAATTTCGGTGATTAATATTGGAGAAATAGAATTTTAAGGAGGATTAGGCCAACTTCTGTAGAGTTTTTACAAATTTCTGACGTCCTCAACTTCTTGAGGGCTGAAATTGATTTTTTTAAGACCCTGTGCTTCTAAACCCTTCTAAACGCCAACAAATTTCAGCGTGACTATCAGCAAGGCCCGAGCAAGTCGCGCGGTTGGTACCAAGGCAGCAACTTGATCGTCCTCTTGGTCATCATACCGCTGGCCGTCGGTGGGATGGCCGTTTGTCTGGTGTTCGTCAACTACCACTGCAAAATGACTTAGGGCCTCTGATTCATCGACTCCGTTAAGTAACTGTCCATATATCGTAGTAAAATTTTATTCTGTCCAATAAATTGGTATTCATCTAGTGGATGTGCTACGAAAAAGCTCGAATAGACGAGTTTTGAAAGAATTTGCGTGAAGGAAATGTATTGAATCGACAAGAAAAGGACCAGAAGAAATATTAGATGTATTCTTGTAAATTTTTTTATAAGAACACATCCTCGTTAATTTTTTGAATAAAAAACATTAAAAGAAAGATTGTACATCGCACAGTGGAATCAAAATTATCCTCCACAGCAACCACCGGAAGCACAACTTGGAATGTTGGTCGTTGTGGTGTTCAGCCGGCCAATTGGACGACGGCCACCACCTGAAGGATGGATAAGATAAATTTTCGTTTAAAAATCGACTAATCTTTGTGAAACTGATTGACAATCAATCTAAAAATGCAACAACAAATTTAAAAGCTTACCTCCAGGACGGCCGGGCCAGTTTCCGCCACCACCGCCTCCTCCTCCACCACCACCACCTCCTCCACCGCGGCGACCCAATGAGCTCCTAAACCGGTCTTGTTCATCGGGATCTACGACTGATGTGCCGAGAAGGGGTCCAAACAACGATCGGAAGCTAAAATAATTGAGGATTGAAACCAGTTTCACCCTTATTTTATGTTATACTTCAAGTCAGATATGAGAACCATAATTTCTAACAAACAGCAGCCTTTAATTTAGTGGAAACTGCAAAAACTTCTCGAAGAAGGCTCTAAAAATCAATCAACAAAACGAAACCGGAACTTACAACATCATAAACGCCAAATAAATCTCGAAGAAGAACTTGTACATAGACTTGAGAAATGGCTCATTATTTACAATCTCGCCCTCTAAAAACAAAAAAAATTAGGATTCTCAGCATCTACAGGTCGTGTTGTTCTATTACAAATCAATTGCGGACATAATCTCAGTTGAAAAGCAACAATATTGATCAGTCTTCCGGTTGATGTCTAAAACAATATCAACTTACTCGAATTAACGTAAGGCATGCTGATCACAAATCGATTCTACACACTAAAAACTCTGGGAATACAGCGACAACCAACTTGTGATACGTCAGTAAAACTTTTCCGAGAAGAAAAAAATTGGAGATTGGGCGCAGCTTGCGGAGGTTCATATGTGCAGCGACATTTTATACGATGAAATAGTATACTTGCTGTTTTGTGAGATGGAAAGTAAAATAAATGGAAACATGTTACCAATCAAATTGCGATCGGTCATTACTTATGGTTAAAGTGAAATTTCTTGGTATAAAAATCATTTTCGGCTAATTTATATTGTCATAGATCAATGTTGAATATCTCTGTAATTAACACGCTGAATTCGGCTCTAACGATATTCCTAGCTGTGTAGCGAACATACAAGGTTCATCTAGATTCTTGAACATCCAATGCTTCTAATTTTTACTTTCGAATAAGCAAAGAACATCCGAAGCTCGGGCGCAGCTCGCCAATTTTTATTTTTCATTTTTGGTGGAATTTTTGTGTAATATTGGTCTTCAAAATGGCTACCAAGGTTTACCCAGGCTTTATCAATGTGAATAGGTTTTGTTTCAACGGAGTCCGAGCGTTTTCTAGCCATTCGTCGCCTCTAACATTGGAAAAGTTGAGCGGGAAACATGAAGGTAAGAAATTTTATATTTTTCTTTTGTTTTTAGACGCTGATTATTGGTTGCCTTGTAGAATAAGGCACGTTGAATCTTTTAGGCATCAGCGTCATTCGACTTCACAAGCCGGACACCAAGAATGCCATCTCCAAACTTTTGTTGTCCAAAGTAAGTCAAGTCTAACATTTTTTGTCTTTTTACTGGTTTAGGACACTGGTTGATCGCCTAAACAATGTATTTCTAGTTCCGAGAAGCCGTCAGCCAGCTGAAATTTGACAAATCGGCCCGGGTTTTGATTATCAAGTCCGATGTTGAAGGCGCCTTTTGTACTGGTGCTGATCTAAAAGAACGCCGGAAAATGACCGTGGAAGAGGTCCCCAAGTTTGTGGATAGCATCAGGTCGGCGATGGATGAAGTCAGCGCTCTGCCAGTGCCCGTAATTGCCGCCATCGATGGGTTTGCGTTGGGTGGAGGCTTCGAACTTGCACTTGCCTGTGATATTAGAGTTGTGTGTGAGTTTTTGCCTATAATTTCAAACTCATGCGTTTTCAAAGTAAAGTAAGGTGATATATAGGTAAAATAGACTCTTTAGATTTTATCTATCACATTATTTTTTTCAAAAACTTATTTTCCCAACAAAAAAAATTAATTTTTATATTATCAATGACACTTCAGCTCCGAAGGCAAAAGTTGGTCTCGTTGAGACGAAAATAGCCATTATCCCTGCTGCTGGCGGTTCGCAACGACTTCCACGATTGGTTGGGCCTGCTTTGGCGAAGGAATTGATCTTCACAGGTCGAGTTCTGAACGGAAATGAGGCCTTTTCTCTGGGCCTTGCCAATCATTGTGTGGAAGATCCGTACAAGAAGGCGAAAGAGATTGCCGACGAAATTCTCAGGACTGTAAGCTATTTCTGAGTCTTTTTTATTGTCCAATGCATGTGTTAAAAGCAAGCTTTCATATTTTTAACAATTTACAAATATTGTTTTAGGGCCCAATAGCTATTCGTGTGGCCAAAACAGCGATTGATCAAGGGGTCGAAACCGATCTGCGGACTGGATTGGTGATCGAGCAACAATGTTATGCCCAAGTGATCAATACGAAAGACCGTCTGGAGGGATTGGCGGCCTTTGCTGAGAAACGAGCGCCAGTTTTCAAGGGAGAATAGGTCATTATATTATACTAGGTCAAATTATATGCCACTGAAAAAAAAAATTAGTCGGTTCTTGCCATCAAATCAAGTCATAAAACTGTCATAAAATCTCTAGCCATTAAACTCATGCCATATCGTATGTATTAAGAGTAAAAATAATTACATCAAATTCGGTATTACAATGTTTTTGGTTAACAACCAGTAGACTGGGCCTTCTTCACGGCTTCGTATAGCCGAATTTGCTCCTGCACCTTGGTTCGATCTAGCTGCAGCAGTTCTACGTATTCCTGGGTCGCTAACCCAAGTTGTTCTTTCAATTCGGCGACCCTTTGGCGTTCGGCTCTGAAAATCGAATATTATTCATGATCATGAAGTCAATTTTATAGAAATTTCACAATGAACAGATAGTAGGGGAGTTTTTTCATCCCTAGATGGGCGCGAGATTCCAAATCTATGCTTTATTTTTTCAGCGAAAGCAAAAATATTCCATCCGATGGGTCTACTATAATATTCTTATCTAAACTGAAAAATTTGAGTCCACACCTCTAGAATTTCTTATGAAAAATAAAAATAACAGATGCCAGCGATCTATTCATACCAAGAAAACATCAATTTAGCCCAGAAATAAGCCGACTTCTCAAAAAATTGAGTTAAGGTACCTACTTCAACATAAAGCAATCGAAAACTGTCCTTCTACGGGAAAATTAGGCAGAAAATGAGTATAAAAGCCACAACTAATTGTAAAACATGTTATTATTTAAGCGACCGAGCAGGAAATTCCACCACAGGACCATTTACCGACCTATCACACTACACGAGTATCGAGCCATTCGATTTTTTCGCCTAAACTTCAAAAAAAAGGAAAAAAACATACGCAACAGCTTGACGACGCTCCAACGCCCTAGCCTCTTCCTGCTTGAGCTCTCGGAGCTTCTGTGACAACCTCTTCTTTTCTTCGTTGGACTGGATTTGCTCCACAAATCGGCTAACATTCTCCACGGCCTCGGCCACAACTTCATCCATATTCACTCGAACGCGACTGGCAATGAAGTCCGGCAGAGCGTCCAGGTAGTCCTGCTGGTCTTTCTGAAGCTGCCTCACTCTTTCCACAATGAGTCGCTGCTGTTCAATGCGTTCCTCGTTGGACTTTTTGAGGACCTCCATCTTTCGAAGACTGCTCTCGGAGAGTTGAGTGGGGCCCGGCATTCTGAATCAGCTGAAAATGAGGCATAGAGCATAAAGCCTTTATTTCATCTGATATCAGGGGTTTTGAGAGTGTTATAACAGCTCCAAATTTTATATTATCCATGACACCACAGCCTAAAATAAAAAAAACCAAACAAAAAAGGAACCTACTTGAGGAAAGACGACCAAAACTGGATGGAAAAAAATTAGTCGACCGAAAAATAAAAAAAAATCTTTTTCTTCAATTTCGAATGGCTGAAATTCCGCGAACGTCGGGCGCAGGGTGCGCATGTAAAAGTGCAGCGTGCAGAGAGAAACACTTGACCATAGAAAGGAACATGTCAACTGTTGCTCTCATAAAGAAATATTTTCCGGAACTTGCGAAATTGTGGAAACGGCTCTGATCTCGACTCGTTTCCAAGATGTCTGATGAGGAATTCGAAAGTTTTGATGTGAATGATAGAGATATCGAATACGCTTTGAATCCGGGGAGGAATCGGCGCCAAACAAAAGATGATCAAATCTATGGTAAGTTAACTTTATGCCCATCTTTTATTTTTAGGTATATGGGCTGAGAAGGATGAAGAGGAGCAGGCGAGGCCCTCGTTCGGGAAGACTAAGCCACTAAAATTTACGAATTTTGTGAGTGGTGGGATTAGTGTTGGAAGTAAGATGGATAAACAAGAAGAGGACGAGGAAGACGACGAGCCCACTCCATCAACGTCGGGTATCAAAAACAAGGATGATTATGTTGAAGTTTCGGTGTTTCAAACCAAGAAGAAGACTGCGTTTGCTTCTGCCAAAGGGTTGGTTAGATGCGATTAAAATATTATTTTTTAGTGGAGGGTTTGCTGGGACAAGATCATCCGAAGCAGCGCCGTCATGGACAGCATCCTCGGGGAAGGCATCTGTCATTATGAACATGATGAAGGTGGGTTGAAAAGGCTTTTTTGAGATTCTGGTTTAGAAAATGGGATACGAGCATGGAAAAGGCCTGGGATCGAACAAACAGGGCATTGTGGAGCCGGTTGTGGCCAATGTGAGGAAAGGAAGAGGAGCGGTTGGAGCTTACGGTGCTGAGCAAAAGGGCCCCAAGTTTGGAGGTGAGTTTTTTCAATATTTTTTTTATTTTTGGTTTAGAATCCGCTGCTGATGCGCAAAAAAGGTCGGATGACAGTGTTGAGATCATCGAGGAGGAAGTTGTCGTCGGTGACACCTGGAAGAAGACCAAGAAAGCACGAGTGAAGTATCGAACGTTGAACGAAGTCATCTCCGACGGCTCCATCGAATCCCCAGCCATCGTCGCACCCAAGATGAAGATAATTGATATGACAGGGCCGCAGGAACGGACTTACGACGACATTCATTCGTATCATAGACGCAAACCCCTGAAGGAGTCGAACAAACGGCCGTTCTTCGATGTGCCCGCGTTGACGGAGAACCTGAACACGCTTCTTTCCTCCTGCGAACAGGAGATTTTGAACACCCATAGTCATCTGGAAGAGTTGAAAAAGAAAAATAAGATTGTTGAGAACGATCAAAACAAACTGAAGGTTGATATTAAGGAAAATGAAGAGGAAATGAGACGGTTGGATGAGGTTATTCACCTTGTCAAACAGTAAGCGCTCAGTTGGGGGAAAAATTGGGGAAACTGAGAAATATGATTTTTCTTGCGTGTAAATTTTGAAATGACGATAAATGAGGCGAGTTCAAAAATTATATTCGTTTTTTTTTTGATTGTTACTTTTTTTCTTAAGTAGTACTGTAAAGTAGTAATTTTTCAAATTTTTTTACAAATATCTTGATTTAGGGGTTTTTGATAGTGCTGATTTCGAAAATGACCTTCATTTTTTCTGATCGTTTCTTTTTTTCTTAAATAGTATTGTAAAGTAGTTATTTTTTGAATTTTTTCCACAAATACTCGACTTCGGGGTTTTTGGTGGTGCTGATTTCAAGTCAAAATATAAAAATGAATGTCATTTTCGAAATCAGCACTATCATAAACCCCTAAATCGAGTGTTTGTTGAAAAAATTGGAAAAATTACTACTTTAAAGTACTACTTAAGAAAAAAAAAAGTAACGGTCAGAAAAAATGAATGTCATTTTTGAAATCAGCACTGTCGAAAACCACTAGGTCGGGTGTTTGTTGAAAAAATTTGAAAAATTACTGCTTTACAGTACTACTTAAGAAAAAAAGTAACGATCAGAAAAAACGAGTATGTTTTTTGAACTCAACGCCCTCGATTAACGTCATTTCAAAATTTAAATGCAAGAAAAATAATATTTCTCAGTTTCACCAATTGTGGCTTCATGTAAAAAACTGAATTTTTTTTATAGATTTGATCATGTGGAACATGGAGTGGAGCCGTTAGAACACTACAAACGCCTTTTCTACCAGCTGAATGCGGAATATTCGGCCGAATCGAAGCTTTTCAATATCGAAGCGGTCATCCAATTCAAGGTCCTGCCCATGGTAAGTGCAATATACGATTTGTATTCTGTCTTTAGATCACTCGCTTCTTCTCCCGCTGGGACCCGTTGGACCCGGAGATGAACCTGTACGGCTACGATGAGATGCTGGACTGGAAAAAGCTTCTGTCCATGGGGAATCGGGGCGTCTTGGAGGAGAACAAGCACGAGAACCGCGCGATCCCCACCTTCGATCTGCTCCTCTGGGAGGGATGGATGCCCCAGATGCGAAGAGCGGTCCTCCGATGGGACGCACGCACCAATTCGCCCCAAATGAACTCCGTTCTGGCCTCGTGGTCGTCGCTGTTGCCGCCCTGGATGGTGGACAACATGTTTGATCAGTTGATCCTGCCCAAGATTGAGGAAAAGGTCGCCGAATGGAACCCAGTGACGGATGAGATCCCGCTCGACGAATGGCTGATCCCGTGGAACGAAATGCTCGGCCATCGACTGCTCGATGTCTACAGTAATGTCCGACAGAAAATGGGCATTGCGCTGAGAAGGTGGATCCCCACCGACTTGTCGTAGGTTTTGTTTTTCACGTTGAATCTTGTATTCTAGAAAAAAAATTTTTTTTTAATGGTTGTTGGGCAGAAAGATCCGGAAAAATTTTTTCGATCTACAATGGAACCTGAAGAAAAAAGTGAAATGCACGGTGCAAGATGGCGTTTGTACCTTTTTTTCGCGGCGTTTTCACGACATCTGGAACCTTTTCCCACGCTTGTCGCCAACGCACAGTGCATTTTTTCTTTTCGCGCAATGCAAACTCCAAAGAAAGTCGTTTGCACTGTGCAGATTTTTGAGGAAAGCCGCGGCGGATCGCACAGTGCATCTCGAACCCGTTTTTTCCCACGCTTGCCGCCAACGCACAGTGCAAACCACAAAAAAGCCGTTTGCACTGTGCGGTTCCGCCGCGCGCGCCGCGGCTTTGCTCAAAATTTGCACAGTGCAAACGGCTTTTTTATGTTTTGCACTGTGCGCAAAAAAGAAAATGCGCTGTGCGTTGACGACAAGCGTGGGAAAAAGTTCAAAATTCACCATGCGAAAGCGAAAAAATGTCTATGGACTTTGTGAAAATACTAATGCTCGTTCTTCAGAGCGCTGACGGTGATTAAGCCCTGGGGCAAAGTGTTCAGCAAGAAACACATGAGAGATTTCTTGGATGCCAACATTGTCCCGAAGCTCGAATCCAGCTTGTTCAACATGAATATCAATCCTTTGCAGAACAAGGTAAGCATTTTTTATTTTACTTTTTCATCATGACTCTTTTTTTGCAGAAGTACGAGGAATTCAATGTGTTGCTGGCCTGGAGAGGGCTACTTCAAGATGACGTCATTTGCCGCATCCTAACCAGAAACTTTTTCTCAAGGGTATGTTTGATTGCCGAATAATTTACTTGTTTAGTGGTACAATTTATTGTTCGATTGGTTGCAAGTCCCGGGAGATCCGGGCATTATTGTGCCGGAAGTCGCGAATTATTACCGAGAATGGAAAGGAAGAGTACCCCAGGAGCTGCATCAGTGGCCTCCAATTCAGAGTAAGGAAAAGTTGATATTGTCAGTGTGTCGGGAAAATAATGAGCTTTATCAGTGTGTCGGGAAAATAATAAGAACTCTGTCGCATCGAAAATCGCATCACCGCCGAGAAAATGAATTGTGTCTTGTCGCTGAAGTGAAAAGCAATTTGATTTTGCCGCGACGCAATTCATTTTCTCGCCGGCGATGCGATTTTCGATCCGACAGAGTGCTCATTATTTTTCCGACGGACTGATTGTCCGCCAGAAATGCTGCCAGTTTTTTTTTTTTTGCGTTTACACTGCGCAGAAAAAATTAGGGTGCGAGCGACAGCCCAAAAAAAGCCTATTGCACGGTGCAAAAAGCAAGAAATTGCACAGTGCGAAGAGAACTTTTGTTTTCGCACAGTGCGTGTCGCCGATTAGTGATTTCCGCGACATGCACTGTGCGAAAACAAAAGTTCACTTTGCACTGTGCAATTTTTGGCTTTTTGCACAGTGCAATAGGCTTTTTTGGGTTATCGCTCGCACCCTGACTTTTTCTGCACAGTGCAAACGCCAAAAATCATTCCAGCGACTTGACGAACTGACTTTTTTGCTTTTGATTTTTTTTTGTGATTTGACTTTTTTAGCCGAATTCGCCCGAGCCGTGAAGGCGTTGGGTCAGGCCAAGCGCGGCGAGCCCTTGATCAAACTGGCCAGCTACGAAGACTTCTCCGCTTCCCAATTCGCACAGCCTCAGCGAACATACGACGAACCGGTGGTGGACACAAATTCTGTCACTATCAACCAAAGAACTCTTCGAGGCCATATTGAACAGATCGCCAGAGAGCGAGGACTGGTTTTCGTCCCGATCAAATCAGAACAAGGACGGCAGATCTACAACCTAGGCAGCAGGAACATTTATTTCGACAGTACCGCCATATTTTGTATGGACAATGTGACCAGAGATTGGATGCCCGTTTCCATTCCTCAGCTCCTTCAAATGGATCTATGAGAATTTGGAGTGAAATTAAAGTTGTTTATTTTACAATGTTAGTAAATTAATACGGTTAAATTAACGAGGAATGTTTAATGTTTTTTCCGTCTGTTAAAGAGCTTGTGATCACCGGTTTGAAACTATTGCCTTATAGGGAAAACGGTCTTTTTTGCGACATGCACTGTGCGAAAATAGAAGTTCACTTTGCACTGTGCAATTTGCTGCTTTTTGCACTGTGCAATAGGCTTTTTCGGGCTGTCGCTCGCACCCTGACTTTTTCTGCACAGTGCAAGTCGCTAGGATAAATTTTGCGACATGCACTGTGCAAAAATAAAAGTTCACTTTGCACTGTGCAATTTGTTGTTTGCACTGTGCAATAGGCTTTTTCGGGCTGTCGCTCGCACCTTGACTTTCTCTGCACAGTGCACATCGCTAGAATAAATTTTGCGGCGCGCACTGTGCGAAAACAAAAGTTCACTTTGCACTGTGCAATTCCTTGCCTTTGCACCGTGCAAAATGTGGTAAAGTAAAAACAAAACGAATCTCCAGTGGCTTTGCAAAAAAAAAGCACTTTGTAGGCCCAAAACTCCAAACTTTAACCCGGTTTATTACAAACACTTAACAATAAATATAACTTTAGATGGTCTTGATCGAATTAACGCTTTCCCACGGCGTCTACCAGTTGTATTCGAGTGGAAGCCGGACGGAAGTTGAGCCCTCTTGATCCAGCACATTTCTCAGCCAGCCCGCGTTCGGCACAACGGTCCAGTGCAAGGTGAAGGTGACGTTTCTCCCGCGCAAATTGTTGCCATAGTCGACGAACTGATTCGAGATTGGGGGTTTGGCGATTTTTCGGTTCAACACGGTGTCCTCGAAACGTTTGAGGTACGTGTCCCAGATGATCAGCTGATTGATCGGCTAAAAAATCGGAAATTTTATATTATACAAGGCAGTTTAGGGGGGTTGCCGAAAAATCGCCCAAAAAATGTCGAAAGTAGTCGCAAGATAGTCCAAGTCTTGCTGATAATGAAGAAAATATACTAATCTAAACGCTGAAACCGAAAAAATTCAAGATTTACCCTTTCTTCGGTCGCATATTCGGCTTGCAGCCAGACGTAGGCAAGTCGCACATTCCAGTTGAAAATCGGAGTGAGATCGGCGTGTAAATGGAAGCCGGCGGTTGCGATATCGCTTTTCCCAGTCACATCACGAATTGGCTTCCTAAATTATCGCCAATTATTAGCATAATCGACAAGTCTTCTGCGACATTATCCATGACAAGCTTTTTGCCCCAAAACTCGTAATTTTTCGTCTAAATATAAAAAAACCAAACATAAACAACTTACAATTTAACATTCTCCACTTTCACATCAATTGGAACGGTGTAGTTGAGGAAGAGCGTCTGAATGAAGACCAGGGCAGTGGCGGCGGCAAGAACGGACGACAAGAAGGTGAACAACGCGTTTAATCGAGACAAAAACGAATGCATCTCGCTGATCTACACCCAACTACTCTTCAAGACTATCAACTGGAGCTATTGGACCAAAGCTCCACGTCTCAGCGCCTAAACTGACGTCTAAAATTGGGCGCGAGCTGCGCGCCCACGAACGCGAACTGCGGCGTGTGAGAGTTGACACATCAGCTGTCTTCGGGTCAAGTGTTCGCTTTTTCGGCAGAAAATCGAAAAAATAAAAGAAGGAGCAGAAGAGCCGAGAGAGTGTCATGTGAAGGGCTCGAGACGGGTCATATGGTCGGGTTTCGTTGGGTCGAATGTGTAGTAGGGTTCTGGGCCGGTTCCTTCTGGTGAAGTCATGAGGTTTTCCGTGCGATTTCAGAACACCGACGGAAAACCGATCTTCTTCATGACCCCTTACCGTTGGATGGGGCGATTATCGATGTTGTTTTTGTAGTAAATGTGTTTTTTCCCTTGCAATCAATGTTTATTAGTGATTCTGCGAGTTTTGAAATTTCTTGGCTCATGGATAATATCACTCCTTAAAATTTGTGTTTTCAGGCCATAAATCTTTGTTTACTTGACATATTTGGTGAAACCATGTCGGGTAATGGATTTATTCCTTCTTTCAAAGAGCGCAAGAGCCTGAGTAAGTTTGGTTTTGACCCGTTTTTTCTTGGTTTAGGTATCAAACCCGAAAAGCGAAGAGATTAGCGGATATTGATCGAAACTCTTGATCTTATCTGTCGTATTTTGCAGATGAACGCATGCGCATGGTGGAAGAGATCCGCCGACAACAGCCCGACAAGGTTCCAATCATTATCGAGCGTTTCGAGGGCGAGAAGAGCTTGCCGTTGTTGGACAAGTCCAAATACCTGGTGCCCGGCCATATTACCGTCGCCGAGCTGATGCAGATCGTCCGCCGTCGTCTGCATTTGCATCCCGATCAAGCGTTCTTTTTGCTGATGAACGAGAAGTCGATTGTCAGCAATTCCATGACCGTCCAACAGGTCTATCAGATGGAGCAGGAACAAGACGGATTTTTGTATCTAGTATACGCGAGTCAGCCCGCTTTTGGATGATGACTGAGAGGATAAGGTCTATTGCGAGTTTTACAAATGATTTTCCAGCGATTCCTCTCGAATAGCAAGCGATATTAACCTTTTTTTCGTCGTCATCTACTCCAATATATTGTTGATACTTTTTCTTTGTTTTCTCCCTATTTCTTTCCCTCTAATCAACTTCCATTGGCCTAGAAGTGTAGAACACACAATGTACTTACACAATATGTATCATAGAATGTACATACGATGCCTTCCAACCCATAGAACTCCTCAAAATCATATACCTTTATAATCAATTGCGCGGGATCACTTTCCAAGAGGCTTCGATCTACACCGGAAACAGCATGCGCACCTCGAAACGCATGTCCCAGTTTCTCTTCTTGTCGAGTTACAACTCCAACACTGTCTATATTCATTCGATTTCTCCGTTTCTTGCAGTTTTCAGTAAATAATTTTATAAAATCGCCGGTTTATGGGGAATATCACTGAATGAAAAGTTGGAAATGCTCTCCTGAGGCGTTTAGATTCTATATCCTTGCCGTTCCGCCGAGTCCCGTAGTTCTGAAATGAGAGTTTTTCGAAAAACTTTTGAGTTTTGGCGATATCAGACATCATGGATAATATCGCTCAGTTCTTACTTAGAATTGCGTTGTAAATCTTCTTCCTGGCGCCCATAGTGTTCACACCAATGTCTTTGAGGTTGTGCTCATCCAGCAAGAGGAATGCTTGCATATCAATCTAGAAAATGACCGGATTTATATTACACTAGGCGACTAATGCCCTAAAATATATTTGCTTATATCTCCTCAACCCTTTTACCTCCTGCTCTCTGAATTGCTGCAAATATTCGGCACATCCCACTTGTGCCAGCACACTTTGCGGATCCGTGTGATACCGAATGTCCCAGTTCATATCGGAGCCCAAAGAGGAGGCGGTCGAGTCGAAAAACGCGTTCGCCGATTGGTTAAAACCTTGCGTCAGCGATTGATTGAAGTTGGACTGGAGCAGCGATCGCCGCTGAGGCATTGTGTTCTGTGTGCCGGTTCGATTCAACGGGGATCCCGAGAAATTGGAGCTGTTGGAGTGGTTGTAATCGCTCAATTCGTCCTCCTCCCTCACCGAAGCCAACGGTTTTTGGCCGGCACTCATTGACTGGTTGTAGCCTTGGTCGGCCTTGCGTTGGGATTGATCTAAACCTCGTTTATTATACTTCAGACATCCCTTTACAATCTCCGACATCAACTTTCGCCCCAATCTTACAGTAGTTGGCAAAAAATCTCACCAAACTTTTCGCCGTCCTTGTCCCAGATCTCCTTGAGGTCGGCGCGCAAAATGTTGGCCGGCAGCGAGGAGCTGAATCCGCCAGTGTGCCAGGGACTCTGGCCTTCCACTTGGCGGGGAGCTGAGGTATTTGCACTTTCATTTGAACTGGATTCGTTGCGTTGGCGACTTTGCTGACGCTCGAACCCCGGGGTCCTCCAAATATCACTGAAATAGACGGTTTTTAAGCTGTTTTGCTAAAAAAATGTCTTGATGTTCGATTAATAACATGCTTTTCAGCTCGTATTTTACCCTGGCCTTTCAGTTCCACTCAATTTCCACCCAAATTTTCACTTTTTACTTACTTTTTATTCAAATTTAGGCTCTTGACACCCGCCAGAAGAGAATGTGCTATTGGTGACTCCTTCGGGTCTGGGGAATCTGGAGGTTCACGTATCTGAAAGTAGATATTGTATAGTAAATCCACTGTAAATATTGCAAATTGACGTTTATCGAGCTTTGAGATATACCTGATATCACTTTAGTCATCAAAAATTATATTTTGATAACTTTTTTTTTCAAATTTTCAATATGAAAATGGTTTCAAAACTTGGGAAAAAGGATTGTAAATCAAAGATAACACCCCCTTGTTACTGTAAATACCAATTCCAAACTCAACTTACCATATTAAAGTTGACAGATTGCGAAAATAATGGAATTGGGATGCCTGGTGGGGGCTTCAAGATATTTTGCTCATTCGGCTGCTTGATTTGTCTGAAAATTTTCGAACCACATAAAATCTAGGTAATTGAGGTCTTACTGCAGCATATCCTTCATGAATTCATAGTCATCCGGGATGTTTTCGGCGGGCTCGTTGAGGATTAGTTGACGGACATGATAAGCCGCGCTGAGGTTCGCTTCGTGCGTGCGGATCAAAAATAACTGAAGATAATATTTTTACAATCTTATCGGGTCTCCATTTTGGCCAAATTTAGTGACAAAAATTCAAATTTTGGGTTTCCCGCAATTTTTGGCATAGTGTTTCAAGGGCTTGTAAGGGTATCTACAGCTGGGAAATGGTTGAGAAAGGTCAGAAATATAACAAAAAATGATTTTAGAGGTCTAGGAATACCTATGGAGCTTGATTTTTGACAAATATTGGGGTCTTTGATATTGTACATGACAAGGGTAAGTTGGAAAGGGAAAAATAGAAATTTTCAGTAGGTTTTCTTTTTAAAATCGATGGAAATACTGTAGAATTTAATATTCATTTTTGAAAAATCAAAATTAATATCAATTTTGGCCAATAACTGAGATTTTTTATCGATTTTCCCACATTTCATCCCAAAAATCGCCCAAAAAAGTCGCTTTGAACCGTAAAACCTACACTTTCCAGGCCAACCCCTCCACTTTTCGGTTTCTCCGTGATTTTCACGTTAAATTCGTCCTCCACCCGGCGGATAAAACCCTTCTCCACGGGGTTTTGCGCCACATCTTGCTTGTCGAAGATCAGCGAGACCGGCAAAAGGCCGCTCAAATATTTGCGCGCACTCAAAATGGCCAAAGGCTCGCCCAAAACGACGATGAAAGAGTCTTGCGGTGAGAATTGCATATGAGTGTTCGTGTGCAAGGCGATCCATCTGATTGTGTTTAGGCCAAAAAGACCGTAGGCGGGGGTCAGAAGGGCCGGGCGCAGCTCGAAAATGGAACGGCAGAAGTAGTCGCCGGTCTGAAAAAAGGGGTTAGAGTGGAAATTTAGGCGTTCTAAAGACTTAAGAGGAATTTCAAAAAAAAAAAATAAAATTTTTTTTGAATTTTTTCAAATTTTGATGTACTACTACCTCAAGTGTAACATTCAGATTTTCTTCAAATTTGGCACACACGTCGTACATAGCACACATATCAATTACTGAAAGTTTTAGCCCGCGCTTTGCAGGAACAGCCGAGATATTAAACGATTTTTGCCGCCGAGAGAGTACGCGAAATGCGGAGAGCGGTCAGAAAAAACACCTTTTTGGCCATATCGCTGCCAGTTTCGCAGGGAAAAAATTGATTTTTTGTGAAAACATTTCTGTCTACGGTAGAAATAGGCATAAAACTTTTTGTGCCGAAATTCGAAAAAAACTTTTATAATAATTCGCGCTCTGCATAAACCTCCGAAATTTTTAAGTCAAAATGCCAAATTTGCCAAAAATTTGATTTTTAAAATTTTTTTAGTACGGAAAGTTTTTATTTTTCACGAGAAAAAATCCGTAAAACCAAAAAAAAATCTCTGACCGCTCTCCCCATTTTCCCCAGTCTTTCGGCTGCTAAGATTGTTGAATAACTCGGCTCAGCCTGAAAAACATGAGCTAAAATTTTCAGAAATTAATACTTGACCTATCCAAAACTATTTCGCAAAATTTGAAGAAAATCAGAAGAAAAAAAATTTCTGAAAAAAAAAATTTTTTTGAAAAAAAAAATATTTTGTTTTTCTTCCAAAAGATCACCTCCAAACATACCCTCAACCCACTGAGCTCCCGAATTTTCTCCGTGACTTGTAAAATTCCCAGCTGATTAAACGTAGACGCCTTGATTGTCCATTGCACTTGCCCGGCGGCGATTTGTTGAACATTTACTGTGATATCCGGATGGTTTAAAGCTCTTCGATGGGATTCCAAACACCCCAAAGTTGAGGGATCCAGGTCGGCGGTCACGGTGATTGTAACTGGGCAAATTTCCTAATATACGAAAAAATTTGGGGAAATGAAAAAAATGCACGGTGCGGAAATCAAAAAAAAAAGTGAAATGCACGGTGCAAAAGCGGCGGGGTGCATTGGCACAGTGCAAACGGCTTTTTTGTGGTTTGCACTGTGCGAAAAGAGGAAAATGCACCGTGCGTTGGCGACAAGTGTGGGAAAACTTCAACATGCACTGTGCGTTGGCGACAAGCGTGGGAAAAAGTTTAAAATGCACTGTGCGTTGGCGACAAGCCTGGAAAAGGTTCAAAATGCACTGTGCAAACTCACCTTTTCGGCCGGGTGCACAGTGCGAATGGGTTTTTCGAAGAGCGACACAATTGTCGCACGAAATGCACGGTGCAAAAGCGGTGGGGATTTGCACAGTGCAAACGGCTTTTTTGTGTTTTGCACTGTGGGAAAAGAGGGAAATTCACCGTGCGTTTGCGACAAGAATGGGAAAAGGTTCAAAATGCACTGTGCGGTTCCGCCGCGGCTTTGCTCAAAAATCTGCACAGTGCAAACGGCTTTTTTGGGGATTTGCACAGTGCAAACGGCTTCTTTGAGGTCTGCACTGTGCGAAAAGAGGGAAATGCACAGTGCTTTGGCGACAAGCGCGGGAAAAGGTTCAAAATGCACTGTGCGAAAGCGAAAAAGTGTTTATGCACTTCATGAAACAAATTTTGTCAAAGAAAATGTCAAAAAAAATTTTTTTAAATCGAAAAAAATCTCACCCTCAATTTGCATCTGGCGACCTCCACTTGAGCTGTAGGGCCAGCAATTGAAACTTGATTATTCTTTTCGGCGTCAGCGTGCTTGTTCGAGTCCGGGAAATGGATATGACATCGGGTGGTTTGCATTATTTCCTGCGTGTTTTTACCTCTTCTCCCGATCACATGGGAATGTCCGGCATGGGGGATTTCGATTTTCAGGGTTAAACGATCTTTCTAAATTCAAAATTTTTCAATTTGAAAAAAAATTTTTTGTCATCAAAAAAAATTTTTTTTGTCATCAAAAAAATTTTTTTTGTGCTAAAATTTTTTTTCAACCTTTACCCCGATTAGTCATCAAAATTTAGATTTTTTTTTGAAATTTGAATTTCCTTACCTTCACCTTGAGGACGGCTGTGATCAGGTCTCTGGCCACTTTCACTTGCTCATTTTCGCCAATCATCTTCACAAACGGATCCTTCTTTGTCTTGGCGCCGATTTTCAGCCTTGACGGCCATTGGATTTGCGCTCCGGAGCGGAGTTTCACCTAAAAATTGGGGTTTTTTGAAAAAAAATTTCAAAAAATTTTTTTTTACTCGAATTTTTTTGAGTAAAAAAATTTGTGAAATATCTCAAAATTGAATGAAAAAAGTAGAAATGGGATTTTATACCTCTTCGAAGAAGTCTTCAGCTTTTGGCAAAGCCTCATCCGACCCCAAAATCATTTGCTCCAAACGCCTTCGGTCCACCTGAACTCGCTCCTCGATAAAGCCCTCAGGCAGCTCGTTGGCCACCTCAAACTCCTCATCCACAGTTTCTGTGGGATTCTCGACTTCTGACGACATTTTCAGCGATTTTTCTCGGGGTTTTGCGACGGTGGAACCGTGTTGTCAGGGTTACTGTAAGATAAAAATTGGCTCAAAACAGGGTAGAAAAGAGTGTTAGATAGTCGAAAATGGGTTGTAGAGTGAAGATAAGGGGCATTGAGGAGATTTATAAAGCGATTTTTTTGTAAAAACCAATTTTGAAAACCGAGATTTTTTGAAGAAAAAAAGCAAAAATCTCAAAAAAATGCCCTTAGATTTTGATGAAACATGGTGTAAATAATAAATATTAGAATTTTCTAAAGAATATCTGATATCATCAAGATTTTTTAGTAAAAAAAATTTCAAAAATTAAAAAGATTTTTTTTTCATTTTTACAAAAAAATGACAATATGTGCTAACTCAAGTATTCTCTACACTGAATAATTATATTTTCACGAAAAATCTACCAGAAATAGCCCAAAAAAAGAATTTTCTCTGACCGTCTCTCCGCATTTTCCATGATCTCTCATCTGCAAAGATCGCTAAATATCTCCGTTCTCTCTGTAAAACACGAGGTAAAATTTTGAGACATTGTTTTCTGAGGCCATTACAACGTTATGGCAAAGTTTAAAGAAAATATGAGAAGTGTGTTTTGAGAAATATCAAAATTTATCTAAATCATCATGGATAACATAAATTGCCCAAAAATTTCAAAAGCCCTTTTCAAAAGTCCCTAAAGCCCCCAAAAATCATAATAAGAAGTATTCGTACGCAACAATTACTTTTCACGAACACAAACTTGTCATTACACTGTTAGTTTATCCCTTTTTTCAATCGATGATCTCCGTCGATTGAAAGAAAATCACAAAAAAAACGTCGAAACGGAAGATATTGTTGGGAGGCGGAAGACGTCGATGAAAATAGGAGAAGTCCCACAAATTTATTGGGTTGACCCTTTCGGAGTAATCGATCCATCAACCCCATGGAGTATATAAGTTTTTTGTTAATAATTTTCGGTGTTTTCGCCGCGCGCTTTTTTGATTTGTCGTTCGGAAGAAGCGACTGTAACACCGAGCAAATGTAATGTCCGGAAAGATCAGAAGGCCGGTTTGTAAAAGTGCAAAATGGATGCATCGCCAAAAATTCGCAAATTTTGCGAAAAAGCCCTTTTAAAAGGGAAATTTCAAAATAAAATGCTGTTTATTGTAGCTAAAATTACCTTATGATCGATGATTATCACATAAAAGTTGTTTTCAATCAAGATTTTACCTTTAAGTTTGGCATCAGAAGCAAATTTTGTTATCCATGAGGAGTAATGTCATGGTGAAGATAAAACGATTATATTGATTTAGCTAAAATTTACTAAAAAGTAAAACTTGGTGATAACGAAACTAGTGATCATGTTTCATCATTGCAAATGGCAGCTAAGTCTATTTGCCGGTCGACTTCGACGTAACAGCCTAATCTTTACAGGGACCTTCATTAATGTCATGGTGAAGATAAAATTGACCATACTGCTTGAAATCTTTTTTGCTATGGCCAGAAATTTGTCCAATAATAAGATGAGGCCATAACCTCACCAATAAATTGATTTTTCAGTCAAATTCTTTGTTGTCGACACCGTTACGAGCCAGTTTCCACAACCGTTTAAGCTGATATCATGGTGAAGATAAACGCCTAGAAATTGAAGACTTTTCTCGTTATTATTGCCGAATCAAATGTTTCTTTGGATGAAGAAAATATTATTGTACACTAATCATAGCTTTTTACACTTGTTACAGTAAACAATCGGCTATATTAGGCTTAATTTTCACAAACTGTCAGGTACTTCGTCATGGTGATGATAAATCGATCGATTTTTTAAATCAAGGTTACAAAAATACGTCTGGTTTTCTGTTGGCAGTATTTTTCAATATTTTTCTCCTTCTGATTACCATTTCTTACTCATTTTACATCACATCCAATCGTTTTATTACCAACACGCCCACCCAGCTTGGGTCCCGCCACGAAAAGATTGCGAGATCAGGTCGATGCGCCTTCTATCTCTCTGGTCGCGTTTTATAACACGTTTCACACGTTGTCGAATTTGAAACTCGGTTGCACTCGTTTGACATTACTTTTCAGCCGCTGGCTATGAGCTTTCATCTTCTTTGCAATTTGTCTACTCGAAGGTTAAATTTTTGTGGATTTCCATGCGATTTGAGGTATTGGATAAACGAAAATACCAGTTTTCAGTGTGATTCATCTTCGAGAACCCTTTCCCGGATCGTTATCATTTGTCAAACTTTACGCGTGACGAATTCGAGTTTCTTTGATAGGCATGTCGAAATCAGTGGATTCGAATGCCAATCCTGTTTTGTTGGGTTTACAACTTTAAATTTACTCTTCTAATGCCTTGAAGAAGCTATGACGAAAATTTCAGCCATTTTGCGCCCGTAGTTTTAAAGAAATTTAGAATTTTTTGCCAGGTGGCATGTGTAATATAAATTTTTCTCAGTACTGCTGTTTGCTTGAATTTTAAACTAATTCGTAGCTAAACAAAGAACAGTGGAACAATTTGCGATGCATTTCACAGTTAGTTTGCGAAATCCAGCAGAATTTTATTCATTTTTTTGTTTCGCCTTGTGCAATATAAATTTCCGTGCAATTTTCCGCAAAGTTTTTCCTTATCTCTTTCCAAACTAATATTGTTGATGTTTGCAGGGTTTCTCGAACTTCTCGTAACCTCCTGACAACTCGCTCACGTCAGTAATGGGTCTAACCATCTCCAGCTTGCTGGGCCGTCTCTTCGGCAACAAGGCTGTGCGAATCCTGATGGTTGGGCTCGACGCTGCCGGTAAAACAACGATCCTTTACAAACTGAAGCTGGGAGAGATTGTGACGACCATTCCCACCATTGGCTTTAACGTCGAGACCGTCGACTACAAGAACATCTCGTTCACAGTTTGGGATGTCGGAGGACAAGATAAGATCCGACCATTGTGGAGATATTACTTCCAGAACACGCAAGGTAGGGGTTTTGTTTGTTTTTGTTGTTATTGGTTTAGGACTGAGAAGAAATTCAAACGCCACAACAAATTTTCGTCAGGAAGTTATCCATGATAAAGAGGTCTTAATTTTTTGCTTTTCTGCTTATGATCTTGATATGATTAGCAGTGAGAAAGCGCAAGAGAGCTATTCGAAAGCATTATTCGTCCAAAATTAGATTGTTTTGTTTATTCTTATATTCATGATGAGGATCACACTTTTTCGTCAAAATTACACTGAATTGATAAAATTCTACCTTTATTAGCAGTACACCCCTATTTCCTTTCTATTTGGCAATCCACCTCCTCAAAATTTATCTGGTTAATATCAAAAATTGATTCATCCTTTTAGGTCTAATCTTCGTTGTGGACAGTAACGACAGAGAGCGTGTGGAAGAGGCCAGAGATGAATTGGCCCGAATGTTGAATGAAGACGAGCTCAGAGACGCTGTTCTCCTTATTTTCGCTAACAAACAAGTAAGATTTTGAACATTTTTGGATTGATTTTTAGGTCAGTGGTCCTAGTGAAATATAATTCCATGTTCGCTATGAAATAGGGATAATGGATGGTTATAACAATGTGCAAAGGTCTTCATTAACCTTCAAATTTGTTCTAGGATTTGCCAAATGCCATGTCAGCGGCCGAAATCACCGACAAACTTGGTCTGCATAACCTGCGCAACCGCAATTGGTACATCCAAGCCACATGTGCCACCACCGGCGACGGACTCTACGAAGGCCTGGACTGGCTCTCCAACCAACTGAAGTCCCGCACCGGCTAAGTGCAAGATAATATCGGCGAACTTCGCGTCTCAAACACCAATAGTCTGGCTTATGATAAAATTTGTAAGTATTTGGTCTTAAATTATTGCTAAGGGTGTGGAGAGCGCGAAGACAAACACCATAAAATTTTAAATTGTGATATGTTCGAAGTTTTTTTTTGTCTTCCAATGGCCTTGTTCTTGAAGTTTCGACTCGTCTTTTGGGTATATTGTTAACACAGCTGCGTCCATTTAACCTTTGTTTCTAATTTATAACAATAAATTTATAATTCACCGAAAATTTGGGGGAAATTTTTGATGTATGGGGAATATATGGGTGTTACAACCCGAATTTACTTTTGTTTTTTTGACCATTGTGATATGTAATCAAAGAAAATCCAGTTTTAATATGTAATGAATAGTCTCCTTGCCGGAATTGAGCTGTATTTCAAACGGGTTTTGAAATTGCGACAAAATGGGACATTCAATATCCAGCCTCCGAATTGGGCTGTTTGGTAAAAAAAATATCCGAATTGTGATGATTGGGCCTCGCGGCGCTGGAAAATCCTCGATTCTTTTCAAACTGAAGGTCGGAGAAATTTTTATGATCACCCCATGCCGGGGATTTGAAATTGACACCGCCGATTACAAGAATATCTCATTTGCTGTGTGGGATACCGACAGAAACGATCCTTGCCGGTCGTTGTGGAAGGACCACTTTAAGAACGCGTTAGGCTTGATTTTTGTCGTTGACAGTGGCAACAGAGAGCGTATAGTTGAAGCTAGATATGAGTTGGCGCAGATTTTGGATGAAGTCGAGCTCAGAGACACGGTTCTGCTTGTTTTTGCTAACAAACAAGTAAGATTTTGAGTAGTTTTGAGATATTTTGATGTTTAGTATAATATTAGCTCATAAAAATACGGTGACGGACCTGATCCAGTGGCAAAAAACGTACCATTTTGCATCCGGGAAGCATAAAAAATGTGGCAAAATGCTTCCCTTTCCAAGTGAAAAAACTCCGTTTTGAGGGGCTCCCTCACAAAAAAGCGGGTGCGCTTTTGAAATCGGAGTTTTTTTCACTTGCAGAGGGAAGCATTTGCCACATTTTTGATACTTCCCGGATGCAAAATGGTACGTTTTGCCACTGGATTGGGTCCCCCACTGTATAAGCGATCCAGCTAAAAACGATTATTGAGCTAAGATAATGGGTATTAAGTAGTAATCAGCCGCTTATTGTGCTCTAGGATTTGCCAAATGCCATGTCAGCGGCCGAAATCACCGAAAAACTTGGGCTGCATAACCTGCGCAACCGTGACTGGCACGTCCAACCCACTTGTGCCGGCACAGGCGACGGGCTCTACGAAGGGTTGGATTGGCTGGCCAACCAACTTGAACGAAGATAATTTTGAAGAACGCGTTGCGATAAATGTATTTTTATTTGGAACTTTGAAAAATGTTTTGGTTTAATATAATGTCATGGACATAATGAACAGATTACGCGTCAAATAAGGCAAAACAAAGTTACCAAACATAGCAGAGGAATTTTCCAGTTGATTTCTCAGCGATTTCGAAACGCTCCTTCTCTGAAAATAAAAATAATGTATAACTTTCAATAAAATAAATGGATAGTCCGATGCGATTCCCAGTTTTTGAGGGTTTTTTCCCGGACTTACTCTGATTTTCTCCAATAATATACAACGCCGCATTGGCATAACAATCTCCCTTTACGGTGGCACAATATCCAACAATATTATGCAACTTGTCACCCAAGATGGTGTGAATAGCTGGATCGGGCTTCACGGTGAAGGTGCGGTACCCTATAAAATTTCCGATCTCAGACGAAAAGGTAGAAAAGATCAAAGTACAGTGACCTGATGCTGTGGCAAAAAACGTATCATTTTGCATCCGGGATTGTATCAAAAAAGGTATTAAAATGCCTGCCTCTCCAAGTGAAATACGTTTTGAGAGCGCGCCCTTTCCCTCACAAAAAGATCTGGCGCGTTCTTGAAATTGGAGTTTTTTCACTTGGAGATGGAGGTATTTTGCTACATTTTGTGATAGTTCCTAGATGCAAAATGATACGTTTTTTGCCACTGGATCAGGTCCCCCACTAAGCCCGAAGTTGATGGCAAAAAGTATCAAGGTTCTTTTTGGTGTCAAATTCCGGCTTACTTTGATCTTTTTCTACCTTCTTGGCGGCTGTAACTCAGCCGAGAACCATTGAGTAAGGTTAAACAAACTTACACCACTTTTTATTCCTCAAACTGTACAATGGGACCAATGAGCCACAAATTCGGCCAAGCCCGTTCTTAACATCGACTTGATTCAGTGTGCTTCCCAATTGTGCTGAAATACAAGAAATGATGCAATATTTGCGAGAATATGACAATTACAATATAAAATAATAAACTCACCGCAAGTGGTGACACTGTCGGGGTTTGTTGGCATCAAGGGCACAAAAGAATTGGACAATTTGGAATAAGTCAGCGTTTCCATGGTGTCTTCGGCTGTTAGAAGGTCCTAAATTACGTTTTGAAACGATTTTTGATCGGAAAACGGAAGAAAATGTGATGGTAAATGACTGTCTTTACCTTGACATGATACCTTGCTGTCTTTGCCCAGCCATAGCACAGCGCTTTTCGGATATATTGGCAGTTGTTATCCCTTCCGCTGAGAGGATTCAACGTCAGCGGACCATCAAATTCTCCGAAAAGAGGAACCGTAGCACCGAAATACCCAAGTTTTGGGCTACAATAACCCAAAAGATAGGAGAGATGGACTTCCGACTTGTTTGTGGACAAAATTCCAACGTCTGAAGGGAGTATAAGCTTTTTGAGTTGATTTCTCACCGTTCTCTCCGGTAGTGTAAAGTGGTAAGAGCTCTGAAGGCTTGTGTTTTGCGTAGACATAGCCCCGAAGAGCCTCATAGCCGGAAGTACCAACGATCAGAGAGATTGAGCCTAAAATATGGTCAAATATACGGATGTCGAATGACTCACGAGAAAATCTCGAATCCAGTTTGGTTGTGGGCTCGGTTCCGACAAAAAATCCATTAGGCTGTCCGAACTTTTTGAATTCTAAAAGCTCGACTAGAAAGTCGTCCTGTAAATAGGGTAGATAATTGCTTTCCGCCTCTTTCAGATAAGTTTTAGGCGTTCGAATATCTAATCGGACCGCTGAGAGCGTAGATAAAGCCAAAAGGAATGATAAAGCTGATAGCATCTGTAAAAAATAGCTGAAAGGTTCCAACATATTAATAATCAGATATATACCGTGCAAAACGGGATTCAGAGAATTCAGAGATTGCTGAATTGAAATAGGACAAGAAAATGCGATTTTATTAGCAAACAAATAGTTTTTGGTTTATAAAACCATGTGTCCTGGTTACCAGACATAGCACAGGACTGGATCCTTTGCACTTCGCCCGATTCCGAAGCTTTCGCTGACTGAAATTGAGAAATTTAGAGGTTTTATGCGGTAAAAATGGTCAATAAAGAAATCCCAAGTAGCACCGATTTCCTACCTGTTCCTCGATTTTTCACATTCAATGCGGCCGTAGCAAAACAATCGTCAAAGACTCGAGCGCAATAACCAATGATCTCAGAGTCAATTAGTGTTCCCGGCTCGGTTCTATAGGTGTAGACGTGTGTGGAAGCATCGTATCCATAGTGAAGTGGAATCAAAGATGGGCAAATAGTTGATAAGACCTCTCCATCCTCCTTGCTTAGGATATTCCCCCGTCTAGCTGTGATTCGGTTATTGTTTGGTTTGATTTTGATGACTTACTGCAAGATTCCACAGCGTTTTGGTCATTGTCATAGATGGGAACTAGAAGACGCCTGATTTGTTCAAAAGTGAGAGATTGATAGTTGAGATCGCCGGTTAGAGTATACTTGATGTCCCAGAACTTTGGCGAGGCAAATCCATAGCCCATGTAATGCTCGACGTTCTGAAATGTAGTAGTTTTGTTGTTTCGAAATGAAAAGGCAAAAAATTTTGATTTCCATGGAATTCGGCTTACATCACACCTGTCCAAACGATCGTCTCCAGTTGTAATTGACTGAGCACTTGAGTACGTCAATTTTCGGTATTGGGAAAGCACCAAGTTGCTCTCACAATAGGCGTAGACATCGCTGATGTATCCTAAAGTTCCATTTGGCAAATGTTTCTTGATAAGTAGAGGTTCGAGGGCTTTCTTGGCTGTTCCGTAGTAATTCTGACCATTTACTCCGACTCTGACGAAAAGAGGCTCCAGATAGGGACAGTCTTGTTTGAACTCTTCCAGCTTGAAAGGCGATACAATGTAACCGAGGAATCCTGAAAATTCAAACGGTTTTCTTCGAAATTATTAGGGCTTCCTTACGAATGAAGACATCGCTTTCGTCTTGGGTGGGAATACTGTCAACATAGTATGCACTTCGATTGAAACTGAAATACTCGTACAGAGGCACTAAATTTTCGACATTTCGATAGGCCGTTGGGATATCTCCTCCATGAAGCTCAATTGCGTTGTAATCTAGGCCAGTTGTTCCAAGAAAGTCGTAGGGATAGACGTTAGAGGATAGAGTCAGCACTTTTGGTCGGTGAACTGGAAATATGATTGAATTTTTATTGGTTTATTTGATAGGATGAGATATGCTTACCTACGATGCATCTTTTGTCATCGGTTGTCACGTTTATTAGCTGGGCCTTTTGCGATGATAAAAGAGCATTCACATCACTGTAATGCACTGTATATTCGTCTGCATGATCGTTTATCCCTTCTCGGATTGAGCTACAGCCGGAAGTATCCGAAACGCAAATTGTTTTTGCGTCAAACATGGAGTCATATTCAAAATCGGCCGGGCGAACGATCCGTCCGCCAAATTTGTAGATACACATGTGTTCCAGCTCTTTGGAGGGCTGAGAAGCGGCTATGGGAATAGCTAACAGGATTAGGAATAGCATGTTCAGCGGGTAGGAAAGTAAACAGTAAGCTGGAGTTGTAAAATACGCAGGGCGACAATATTGGGATTGAAGACGTTTGGAAATTACAAATTGAAGCGATTCCGAAGTGCCAGTCCGTTCCAGTTTTCTGATAATGGAAGAAACATCCTTGTGCGGTTATTATAAACTTGGAAAAAACCGCTCGACTTGCCGCATTATCAGTGTCAAGGTCGGAAGTGAAATAGACAATATTTGTCTGATTTATTTTCGCGCTCCGGATTCATTAACACGCCGTTTTCGGTGTACTTTTGGTCGAGTAGGGGCAAGGATAATTTCTTTTTTTTTGGTAGTTGATATTGTTGGATGATGGTTGAACATTGCTCAGCGATTGATCTTTACAATATTTGATAGCGAAATTATTGAAAATGATGATTTAATTTCTCATGGTGGATCTTTTTTGAACTAACGTATTAGCGATTAAGATGAGGTTACCATTTATTAAGCCGAAATTAACAAAAATTTATAAATATTATTAATATAATACAATCAACAATTATATACAAACAAATAAGATAACCGAAAACGTAAAAGTATCACAGAAAAATTGAAAGACAACTTTTTTTACTGAGGACTACCTAGTTCTTTTGACTGGAACTTCCTCGGAATCTGGAGGTGCTGGCCGCTTCAAACTTCTTAATTGTGGAGCTGTGTAGTCGAATCCGTAGAAATGGTCGTGTTTCACTTTTTCGTCGTATTTCCACGCCTCCGTGTCGTCGGGTGGATTCGATGGGACTTTTTTGGCCAGCGGTGGATCTATCGTCTTCGCCATGAAAGCATCCACGTCGACATCCTTCATGAAGTCGTAGAGCATCAGGCTCCGTTTCCCGGTCGATCCCACTCTTTGATTGGGGTCTTTGCGGAGGAGGACTTGAATGAACTCCTTGAACTGCTTGTTCGTTTGCATAGGCAGGTAGGGCTCGTCTTCGAGGATCTGAAATTGAAAAATTAGAATCTATACGGCATATTGGAGAGATTGTCAGGCAAAAATAAGGGAAGAAAGAAGCTTTTTGGAAAGCCATCGAAAGAGACCCCGAGTTGAAAGAGACCCCGAGTTGAAAGAGACCCCGAGTTGAAAGAGACCCCGAAGGGTAATCGATGGCGTAGATTCCAAAAATCATATTCGTTTTTCCCGATTCTTACTTTTTTGCTTAAGTAGTAATGTTAAAAAGTAATTTTTTGAATTTTTTCTAAAAATAGTCGATTTAGGGGTTTTCGAGGGTGCTGATTTCGAAAATCATGTTAGCTTTCCTCTTTATAGTACTATCTGGTACTATACAGTACGAGGTGAAAATATGGCTTTTGGCGTTAATGGTGTTGTTTTGATGCTTAGTACTCCTCAAAAACACGTTTTAAATAACTGGTACTGTTTAGTACTGTCTGGTACTATGTAGTACAAGGTGAAAATAGGAGTACTAAGCAACAGAACAACACCACTAACGCCTAAAGGCCAAATTTTTACCTTTTACTACATAGTACCAGACAGTACTAAACAGTACCAGTTATTTAAAAAGTGTTTTTGAGCGTAGTGGAGGTTTTTGTCCCCACCCCGGTTTTGTCCCCAAAACGGTTTTGTCCGCAGGACGTTTTTGTCCCCACTTTTTTCGAGCCATTTTGTCCCCAGACAGTGCGATTAAAAATTATGCATTCAAATGTTAATGCTGTTGGTTTGGTGCCCAGTACTGCTCAAACAACATGTTCTTTGCGCTTGGTACTGTATAGTACGAGGTGGTACTATATAGCACGAGATAAAAATTAAGCCATAACACGTCAATGCTATGGGTTTGAAGCCCAGTACTTCTCAAAAATGTGTTTTAGCACATGGTACTATATAGCACGAATTTGTTTTTGCACAAAATGAACGTTTGATCAGTACTGCATACCAAAACAACGTCATTCACGCGTTATAGCTTAATTTTTACCTCGTGCTATATAGTACCACCTTGTGCTATACAGTACCAGATAGTACTATAAAGAGGAAAGCTAACATGATTTTCGAAATCAGCACCCTCGAAAACCCCTAAATCGACTATTTTTAGAAAAAATTCAAAAAATTACTTTTTAACATTACTACTTAAGCAAAAAAGTAAGGATCGAGAAAAACGAATATGATTTTTGGAATCTACGCCATCGATTACCCTATTTTTGACCTTTTCGGCCATTTCGAGGAAACATCGAAAGAGACCCCCGATTCCGGGGTCTCTTTCAACTCGGGGTCTCTTTCAACTCGGGGTCTCTTTCGAAGAAAACCAGCTTTTTGCTTGTATTAATGAAAAAAAAACTTATTACTTACCTTTCTGCACACTTCTTTCCGGTTTTCTGAATCAAAAGGCAGTCTACCGAAGAACATTTGGTATGCCACGACCCCAACAGCCCACCAATCGACCATTTTCGTATATCCTTGTGACTTGTCGAGTTGTTCCGGCGCCGTATAGTAGATCGTCCCAATGACACTGTACATCTTGGTGCACCAAGTTTTGATCTCCATTTTGGCGTGTCCGAAATCAATCAACTTCAAGTATCCATCAAGTCCAACCATGATGTTTTCGGGCTTCAAGTCGCGAAAAACTATCTGCTCCTCGTGCAAATAGTCAATCGCGAGCATGATTTGTGCCGTGAAAAACTGTGTCGCCTTCAAGGTTAAGCGCCGGCACACCTTGTGGATGTAGGTCCACAGATCGCAGCCTTCGACGTGCTCCATGGCCAGGTAGAAGAGGTAGTCCGTCTGGAACGTGTAGAACAGACGGACTCCCATATTTCCATCGACTTCTTTGAGAGCTCGAAGCTCATTTTGCAGGTGTTTGAACCCGTTTTTCCGTTGAACGACGGCTTCTTTTTTGATTGCCTTGAGGGCATAGGTTCGTCCAGCGTCTACTCCGCCAATTTTTTGGACCAATGAGACCTGAAAAGTGGGATTTTAGAAAGAGGAATCGGATTTTAGAAAAAAATTTTGTTTTTGGATGGCTTAACTTGAACTTCAACATGTTTTTTTTTGCGTTTCAAAAATTCGTTGCTAGCAGTTTCATATCAGTCTGTCGGGAAGATAACGGCGGATCGTCGCGCCTCCGAATCGACCATCATCGCTTTGCGAATGCAAGCCGCGGCTGGGGATTTGGTGCGCGACAGCGGCGAGCCGAGACATTTTGCCGCGACGATCCGCCGTTATTTTCCCGACAGACTGATAAAATACGTAGACTTTCTTTCATGAAGGTTTCTGCACTGTGCAATTATTTTTTTCAAGTTTTTGCACGGTGCATCAGACTACGTCGCTGATCCTTGGCCGAATTATTCGCGCAATGCAAACCGCTTTTTCCAATTTGCACTGTGCGAAAGACAGTACTGTCCTTCCGGAAAGTCGCCGGACGGAAATCGGCGACATGCACTCTGCGAAATCGAAAGTTCACTTTGCACTGTGCAATTTTTGGGGTTTTGCACTGTGCAATAGGCTTTTTCGAGCTGTCGCTCGCACCCTGAGTTTTTTCTCACAGTGCATGTCGCCGATTTCCGTCCGGCGACTTTCCGGAAGGACTAGTAAAATGCACGGTGCGTGAGTGACAAACAGGGTAAAAGGCAAAATGCACTGTTCGTTTGCGATAAAAGCCAAGAAAAAAGTTCTACGCACATTATGAAAATTTTAGTTTGTAAAAATTTGCGAGGCGTAAAGCAAAAACTCTAAAATGCACTGTGCAAATTGTGTTTTGGGTGATGCACGGTGCAAACCCTCTTTTTTCGCGATTTTCGCAGCAACAAACCCGCACTGTGCAAATTTATTAGCCCTTCCGGAAAGTCGCCGGACTGGTTTTTGATGTTCGCACTGCAGTGCACTGTGCAAAAAAAGTCAGAGTGCGAGCGACAGCCCAAAAAAGATGATTGCACCGTGCAAAAGCAAAAAATTGCACAGTGCAAAGTGAACTTTTGTTTCGCACAGTGCATGACGCCGATTTCAAGTCCGACGACTTTCCGGAAGGGCTTGTACGGTTTTAAAAATTTTTTAACCGAAATCCCAAAGGCTGTTAATGTAAAAAGTCAACTTACAACTCCAAATGTTCCACTTCCCAGGTACTTGATGTGCTCGAAGTCGGCGGCGGTGATGGTGGATGGTCTGTAGAACATTTTTCAGGGCTTGAAGATGAACAGGAAGTCGAACAAAAAAGTTGAGGATAGTAGTCCAACAAGTTGAAAATTCAAAGCGCAGAAGCTTCAGTCACAAGTCTTGTGGGTGATAAAGAATGTGTGATGCTAATTTTTTATTGTTTTATGTCTGCATTTACGCAACGATTGGATATTGCGCCAATTCCTTGATTTTTTTCTGCCATTTCTGTTTTCAAACGTTATGACAGAATTTTTGAATGATTTGAATATTGAGAAAGCCGGCAAAGGAAAAGTTCATAATGCCAAGCGCACTTTACCTAAAACTGAAAAATTTTCATCTAAACCAATGTAAATTTAGTCATCATTTGGTCTCAAGTTACTTTTAACACCTTGACCTTGATTTCCAATGCTTGGAAGTCCCATGAAAAACGCAATTTTGATTGTAAAAACGTGAATATTGTCTCCAACAGCTCTTTATCCTAGTGTAATATAATTTTGCTGATTTATCCATTTCAATATGCTCCAACTTCCTCAAAAACCCTTTCATCTTTCTTTCTCCTTCTCAAAATCACTATAACTCTCCAAAAAATTTGATATTCAATACACTTTATTCATCAATGACATCATATGTGAATGTTGTAACTATTCAAAAAAAGATTACATAAACCGATGAGACAATAAGAAAAAATGCCGAGAAACGAACAGACACAGGAGTAGGAGAGTATAATATTATGTTGGACATGAGTTTAGAGAGCATTGGTTTGATAATTTACACATTATGTTAGAGGAAGCCGTCTATAATAAATAAGATGGTGGAGATAAGTTAAAACAAGGTCTAAGGGATGCGGAGATGGCTTCGAATGGACGATTGAGTATTCATTTTCATATGCAGTAACATAGCGATGGTAAAGCTTCTCGAAAAATTGGAATTTTTCATCAAATATTACTTTAGACCATCTAAAGTAATATTATCTCAAAATCATCGCAAAAACAACTTTAAAATCGCCATGGATAACAAAAAAAGGTCATTCCGCCATCTCCCAGCCATAAAATCTCTAGAAATCTACAACATGTGCGTCTAGAACAGTCCACATTGCCTTAGGTTCTCCTTTATGATTATGTCCGTGACCGCGTCGAACACGAATCGGATGTTATTTGTGTCGGTGGCGCAGGTGAAGTGGGCGTAGATCTCTTTCTGGCCGTCTTTTCGTTTGTTCAGGGCTTCGAATTGGGTCTGGATGTAAGTGGCGGCTTCTTCGTAGGTGTTTGATCCTAAAATAAGGTCAAATTTAGTTTAATATCGGCAAACCAAGGGTTCTGCTGTGGTCTAAGTAACTTTATTTGAATCCACAATCATTTTACAGAAAAGATTCCCATAATTTCCTCAAAAACATCCATTTTCACATTAATTTTGACCAAAATCATCGGAATTCACAAAAAAATCCTCAAATTTCGATTAAATCCACAAAATCTTCTGCCTCTGGCTATTCTAAATCAACATCAAGCCTCTCTAAACCTTTTTCCTACCTTGATACTCCGGGAAACAAAGTGTGAGTGGGGATTTTTTGATTTTTTCTTCAAAGAGGTCCTTCTTGTTCAAGAACAATATAATCGACGTTTCCGTGAACCATTTGTTGTTGCATATGCTATCGAACAGCTTCATGGATTCGATCATTCGGTTCTGGAAAGGAGAACGCAATACTTTTATTCAAATTAAACTTATTTTTTACTAGTTGCCTAGTATAATATAAAAAATATCTGAAAGCCCTAAAAATCTCTGTCCATACCATTTCATCGTCTTCTGCTAGGACCATATCGTATTCCGAAAGGGCTACACAAAAGATGGTGGCCGTCACACCTTCGAAACAATGGATCCACTTCTTTCGTTCCGACCGTTGACCTCCAACATCAAACATCCTAAAAATCGAATCAAAAACAAAACAAATCTCTTACTTGAAGTGCAAATCCTTGTACGTAAAGTGAGTCTCGACAATTCCGGTGGTTTTTACTCTTGTCCGGAGGACATCATCTTGCGTTGGGATGTAGCCGGGCTGCGAGATGCGGTCCAGGGAATTCAAGTAATAGGCGGCCGAATCGTTGAGCTGGAATTCGCGGCTTCGTGCCAGACAATACTGTACGCCCTCGTCCGTCCATAGCCGCTTCATTATTGTGGCCATTTCGGGCGGAAGTTCCCCTTCGTCCATGGACTGAGCGTACAGGAAGAATTGCCGGCAATCCTCGGCTCGCTGCACGTGTCCGAACTGTATTTTCAGCGGCGTCATGGCGCGGACGATCGCCATTAGGGACTGGATTGTGTTGGAGTAGACGACCGGCCGATACGCCTTCCTTTCCTCGTCCGAATACCCGGTTTCGTGGATAATTTTCATCTGTTTGACGATGGTCGACTTGCCCGACTCGCCGGCGCCGAGAAGTAGGAGTTTGACTTCTCGTTGCGACTTCTCATGGTCTGCTTTTAGCTGAAAGTATTGTAATTAGCTAATTGAAGAGCTATTTTCTTGAGAAAAGTAAAAATTTTTGGATAGATGAAATTGATAAATTGATGTAGATCCAAGTTCAAAAACTACATTTTCTGACAAAAAATCCTTTGGAATACGTCTAACGTGGCCTTCTACTCTTATTTTAACGCCAATAATAATAGAAAATCTATTACAAAACGCTTAATAACTCAAAAAGTGACCAAAACAAGTCTAGTGTAATATAATTTCGTGCATTTCGGTAGGAAGAAATCACCCGGCGTGCCGGATTTTGGCTGAACTAGAGAGATGAACTCCTAATCCAACTTTTTAAACATCTTTGGGTTTCTTCTTCATCAAACCTAAACATCAAAACAACAATAATTTGCAAACCTCTTACCTGCTCATCGATGGCTCGCGATCGCGCTTTCGCGTCTTGATCGGTACTGTTAATGCAACCCATATTCCAAAAAGTTGGTCCGGACCCGTCACTCGGCGCTCGTCAACGTTGGCCGCGCGCCAGCAGCAGGATCAGTTGGCCGAGGGAGGCGGCGAGCAGGGGGAAGACCAGGAAGCTCTCGACCAGTTCGGTGATGCCCAGCAGAATCGAGTCGGCGATGGATGGCGGGCTCGGCGCCTTCGGCACAATCACAACCGCCTTGTAAATCTTGAGGAGCGCGCTGAAAGAATGCGGCATCAAAGGTCGAAAATTTTCACATCAAATTATCTAGTGTAATATAAGCCGATTTCGCGACGGTGGATAAATCGGTCGAAAATATTCGAACAAAACGGTTTACAGAGCCCACATGCCACAATGTGTTCCGGAAAAAGTAATTCCACCTTCGTCTTGGCCTCTAATTAGCGAAATTAATCAGACGGATTAATAGACGTATACATCTGATCCATAAGTGCAAAACATTTATTAAAAGGATGGAAAGGATGCGATAATCCAAATAAAGATTAAAAACAGTGGCTAAAAATCATAAAAGAAGGGTCTTTAAATAATTTTGCCCAGTCTAATATCAGATGGTAACAAATTTAAAAAATCCTAAAACAAGTAGAATTTTTTCAAAGATTTTGGGGGCTAATAGAAAGAAGAAGTCTGCTATGCCCAAAAGCAAGGCAGTCCAATCGAAAAACCGGTGGATTTCCATAAATTTTACCTAGTATAATATCAGATGGTAAAACATCCAAAAAATACCTAAAATAAGTATATTTTTGTGCAGATTTCGGGACGAATGGAAAGAAGAAGTCTGCTATGAACAGAAGCAAGACATTTCAGTCTAAAAACAGCTGGATTTACATCAATTTTACCTAGTACAATATCAGATGGTAAAACATCCAAAAAATACCTAAAATAAGAATTTTTTTCATAGATTTCAGGACGAATAGAAAAAAAAGTCTGCTATAACCAAAAGCAAGGCATTCCAGTCGAAAAACAGGGCAATTTACATAAATTTTACCTAGTATAATATCAGATGGTAAAACATCCAAAAAGATGTCAAAATTATAGAACTTTTTTATAGGTTTTAGATAAAATAGCCCTATTCTATCCAGAAATAACTAATAAAAACAAAATTAACTCATAAAAACCAGCTAAAATTCGAGAAAAACCAACTTCCCCAAAAAATAGGGAGAATAGGATGTTTGTTGTAACAATTCAGCCAACTACGATGCGTAAACAAGATAAAACCAGAAGAATATGCTGTGTCGGACCGAGACCGATATTTTTTACACAAATTGCGCGACAATTTCAGCAACATTCGAGGAGAAAATAGCGGAAAATTGCAAAAACCCAGCAGGAATTCCGCATTTTTCGGGGGGATATTCGAATAAAGCGAAACCAAGCCGAACATCTTTACTCCCACCCGCCAAAAAAACGCTCCCCCAAAGCCCGCGATACCCGTTCCGCGGCCAGACACTGGGGGGAAAACTGTTGGAAACAAACCAATTCCAAAATAAAAAAAAAATATCTATTTTTAATCCTCCCGAGACCAATGCAGGAACATAAAACGAATAATTTTTATGGTGGGCGTCCTCCACTTTGATAGGCAAATCTTGGACGGGCGGCGGGAATGTAAAATTGGGAGTGGAATTGGATTTGAGGGGAAAATGAGGGAGTTTTTATGAAAATTCCATTATTTTGGCGTATCAATGGGATTTCCGGGGCGAATTTTGGGTGGAAATAGAGGAAAGATGTACAGAATTTGTGGAAATTTTTTTGATAAAGGATAAAATAAGTGTTACTAACCGTATTTTACCCAAAAATTTAGCTAAATCCACGAGAAAATCAAAATTTTCCGATCAGAGGTCATCTAAACCAATGTTTTAGTCCGAAAAGTAAATTTTTTATGGTCCCCACGGATGGAACTTTGCATAGACATAGGAAAAACTATATAATACAATAGTGTGCTGTATTTTACCCAAACATTTAGCTAAATCTCAGAGAAAACCCAAATTTCCCGATCAGAGGTCATCTAAACCAATGTTTTAGTCCGAAAACTAAATTTTTGATGGTTCCGAAGGATGAAACTTTGCATAGACATGAGAAAGACCATTCCATACAATAGCGAACCGTACTTTACCCAAAAAATCTAGTTAAATCTCCGAGAAAATCAAAATCTTCCGACCAGAAGTCATCTAAGCCAATGTTTAGTCCGAAAACTAAATTTTTGATGGTTCCGAAGGATGGAACTTTGCAAAGACGTGTTAAAAACTTTTTCATACAATAAACTAACGTATTTTACCCAAAAAATTAGCGAATCCACGAAAAAATTGAAATTTTCCGATCAGAAAAGGTCATCTAAACCAATGTTTTAGTCCGAAAACTAAATTTCTGATGGTCCCCACGGATGAAAATTTGCATAAACATAGGAAACACTATATCTTACAATAACGTACCCTATTTTACTCAAAAATCTAGCTAAATCTTCGAGAAAATCAAAATTTTCCTATCAGAGGTCATCTAAACCAATGTTTAGTCCGAAAACTAAATTTTTGATGGTCCCGACGGATGAAACTTTGCATAGACGTGGAAAAAACTTTTTCATACAAATAAACTAACGTATTTTACCCAAAAATCTAGCAAAATCTCCAAAAAAATCGAAATTTTCCGATCAGAGGTCATCTAAACCAATGTTTTAGTCCGAAAAAGTAAATTTTTGATGGTTCCGAAGGATGAATCTTTGCATAGACATAACAAATAGGATACCATACAATAACGTACCCTATTTTACTCAAAAATCTAGCTAAATGTTGGCCAAACTCAAAATTTTCCGATCAGAGGTCATCTAAACCAATGTTTTAGCCCGAAAAGTAAATTTTTGATGGTTCCGACAAATGCAAATTTAATGCAATGCATAGACGTGGGAAAAACTATGCCATGCAACACCAACCGTATTTTACCCAAAAATTTAGCTAAATCTCCGAGAAAATTGAAAATTTCCGATCAGAGGTCATCTAAACCAATGTTTTAGTCTGAAAACTAAATTTTTGATGGTTCCGAAGGATGAAACTTTGCATTGACGTAGTAAACACTATACCATACAATAGCGTGCCGTATTTGACCTCAATATCCCAAAAGTTTTACGAAAAAATCAAAATTTCCCCATCTACCACATGACTTTAGATGGGAACGCGAAATTTGCATGAAAATTCAAATTTCGCGTTTCCATCGGATCATACTTTTGTTCGAATCATCTCCATAAAGGTTCTAGTCTTATATTTAGCCAACAAAAAGGCCAGAAATCTCAAAAAACATAAAAATTTTCGCCTAAAACAAGGTCCAAGAGACCAAGTTCGAAAACTCGAAATCAACATGCCGGATGTTTGTCGCGGATTTCCGCGAATCGCCCATAAAAGTCCCCAGGAAATTGGGGGTATTCCAGGAACGCGAGAGCAGTGGAAAAAGTGGAGGAAAACTTTTTCCGGGCGGTATAATGAGGAGAAACGGCAGCTGTTTCATTCAATTTACCAGCACTCAAAGCGGCCCGAAAATCTCTCCCCCACCCGTTCCAGGCACGTTTTGCGACGTGCTGGCGGGCGCAGCCGATGACGCGTCATAAACCTGCTCAAGGTTTGCGGGAATTGGATCATGGATAATATAATTTTTGCTCAATGAACAAGGTCTGAATGTTGGGATTGAGTCGAGCAGCCCTTACCACTTCTAATTAGACATAAACTTACTTTTTAAACAATAAAAACCCCTGGAAATTCCAGATTCCCGATATTATTTTAGATGCTCAAGATTATCAAAAAAATCGCTGGTAAACAGACAGTTTATGTCGAAAACAAGAATTTCAAGCTGTAAATGACATCTCAGGACACAAGCTATCATTCGAAACAAAAAGACTCTTATTCCGAGCAAAAAATTATATTATCCATGATGGAAAAAGTTTTTCATTTGCAGCTGTCTGCAACTTCCAAAGGAGCTTCAGACTGCCAAAAACACCATACGGCATAAAAAACGTCTGAAATATAAAGTTTTCCGATTTCAGAGCACAATTTATATTATCCATGAGGACCGTTCGGAAAAGTAGATTTTCAGATATTTCAAGGAGATTTTTTGCTTGGAAAGGAAGTTCCAGGTGTAAAAGACATTCTAAAACATAAAATTCCCGGTAGAACAAAAAGTTCGCCGTTTGGGATCAAAAATTATATTCTCCATGAGGAGCAAGGAGAAAAATTCGATTTCCCTGGCGAAAACTGTCGTAAAGCGAGGAGAATGATGGAAAAAAGCGAACACAGAGTTAAACTAACGTCTTGGACATCTTTCAGGCTCAAAAATATGCTTTTAAAATGGCTTTTAGCTGGTGAAAAAAGCAAATTCGAAGAAATTTGGTGAGACCCATTCGAAGGAAGCCCATAAAGCCTAAAGAATTGAAATTTGAAGGCTAAAATACCCGACGGACTCCATAAAAGTCACATCAAACGAGAGCTAACTTTGATTTTCTGCAAATTCAAGTCGTTTGAAGCTCCACGAAAAAATTTTCGAGGAGAAAAAAACGCGATTTTCTTTTTGAGGGCTTCGATTTTTGAATCGCGAAATTCCCGCGCTTTTTTTGAGAGGAGAAATTTGAAAACAAGCGTTCGAAGGAGAAGATTAGTGGTGGATAGAGAGAAATAAAGGGTTTAGAGACGATTTGGATTTGATTTTTTTTTGAAATTTTGAATTTCAGTACACTATGAAGTAGTAAATTAAAAAAAAAAAAATTTCTCCGATTTCTTTCAAATTTTGGATAGATACTCTAAATTGTCTTCAAATTAACCTCTGAAATTTTTAAGTCATGCTTTGAAGGGAGACCGGAGATATTCAACAATCTTTCCAGTCGAGAGAGTATGGAGAATGAAGAGACGGTCAGAGAAAAATCGTTTTTTGGCCATAACTTTGGCAGTTTCGTGCGGAAAGTTTTGATTTTTTGTAGAAACATTATCCTTTACAGTTGAAATAGGCATGAAACTTTT